CCGCCTGTACTTCGACCCCCAACGCCGGGAGTATTTCTTCGACCGTCACCGCGGGGCCTTCGGGGCCGTCCTTTACTACTACCAATCAGGAGGGAGGCTCCGGCGACCTCCCGACGTCCCATTGGACGTCTTCTTGGAAGAGCTGCGCTTCTACCAATTGGGGGAGGAGGCGGAGGGGAGGCTGCGCGAGGCCGAAGGCTTCGCGGTGGAGGTGGCGCAACCCTTGCCCGGCGGGAGGTTACAGAGGAGAGCGTGGCTGTTGTGCGAGCACCCCGAGAGGTCGCCGGCCGCCCGCGCCGTGGCCCTGCTCTCCGTGTCTCCATCGTCGTCTTCTGTCTCGAGACCCTCCCCCAGTTTCGGGCCGGGGGGGAGGCGGCCGCTCAGGTGAGTGACGGGGGAGGGGGTGGGTTTCGGCCTCCTTCTCCTCATCCTCAGCCTCCTTGTTCTCATCCTCAGCCTCCTCGTCCTCCTCATCCTCGTCATCCTCATCCTTATGGTCCTTGGTCCCACCATCCTCATCCTCACCATCGTCATCCTCTTCCTTATGGGCCCCATTTTCACCATCTTCATCCTCTCCATCCTCATCCTCGTGGTCCTCAGGATCCTCAGCCTCACCCTCCTCATCCTCACCATCCTCATCCTTATGGTCCCTGGCCCCACCATCCATCATCTTCATCCTCAAAGTCCTCGGCTCCACCATCCTCATCCTCCGTATGGTCCTCATCTTCATCCTCAGGATCCTCATCCTCACCCTCCTCATCCTCGTGGTCCTCAGGATCCTCAGCCTCATCATCTTCATCCTCAAAGTCCTCGGCTCCACCATCCTCATCCTCCGTATGGTCCTCATCTTCATCCTCAGGATCCTCATCCTCACCCTCCTCATCCTCGTGGTCCTCAGGATCCTCAGCCTCATCGTCTTCATCCTCAAGGTCCTCGGCTCCACCATCCTCATCCTCCTCATGGTCCTCATCTTCATCCTCAGGATCCTCATCCTCCTCATCCTCACCATCCTCATCCTCATGGTCCTCAGGATCCTCAGCCTCATCTTCTTCATCCTCATCCTCCTCATCCTCACCCATCTCATCCTTATGGTCCTCGGTCCCACCATCCTCATCCTCACCATCCTCATCCTCTTCCTTATGGGCCCCATTTTCACCATCTTCATCCTCACCGTCTTCATCCTCGTGGTCCTCAGGATCCTCAGCCTCATCTTCCTCATCCTCACCATCATCATCCTCAGGATCCTCAGCCCCTCCATCTTCACCCTCACCATCCTCATCCTCATGGTCCTCAGGATCCTCAGCCTCTTCATCTTCATCCTTAAGGGTCCTTAACCCACCATCTTCATCCTCACCATCGTCATCTTCATCCTTATGGTCCTCATCTTCATCATCTTCATTCTCAGGATCCTCATCTTCCTCATCCTCATCTTCCTCATCCTCACCATCCTCATCCTTACAGTCCCTGGTCCCACCATCTTCATTCTCAGTGTCCTCACCATCCTCATCCTCACCCTCCTCATCCTCGTGGTCCTCAGGATCCTCAGCCTCATCATCTTCATCCTCAAAGTCCTCGGCTCCACCATCCTCATCCTCCGTATGGTCCTCATCTTCATCCTCAGGATCCTCATCCTCACCATCCTCATCCTCATGGTCCTCAGGATCCTCAGCCTCATCTTCTTCATCCTCATCGTCCTCGGCTCCACCATCCTCATCCTCCTCATGGTCCTCATCTTCATCCTCAGGATCCTCATCCTCCTCATCCTCACCATCCTCATCCTCATGGTCCTCAGGATCCTCAGCCTCATCTTCTTCATCCTCATCCTCCTCATCCTCACCATCTTCATCTTTATGGTCCTCAGCCCCACCATCCTCATCCTCACCATCGTCATCTTCATCCTTACGGTCCCCATCTTCACCATCTTCATCCTCAGGATCCTCAGCCTCATCCTCCTCATCCTCACCATCATCATCCTTATGCTCCCTGGTCCCACCACCTTCATCCTCATCCTCCTCAGCCCCATCATCTTCATCCTTATGGTCCTTAACCCACCATCCTCATCCTCATTCTCCTTTCTGTGATCTTCATCCTCGCCATCCTCATTCTCATCTTTAGCATCTTCACCATCATCGCCCTCATCATCTTCCTCCTCCTCCTCTTCCTCCTACCCAGAGACCCTGCTGCTCCAGCCCGGTAGAGACCCCTCATTGCAAACGAGTCCCCCCCCAGATCTTCCTCCTCCTTCTCATCCTCACCATCCTCTTCATCACCCTCATCCTCTTCACCCTCATCCTCGCCATCTTCATCCTCATCTTCATCATTTTCATCCTCATCATCTTCACCCTCATCTTCATCATCTTAATCCTTATCATTTTCATCCTCATCTTCATTCTCATTTTCATCATCTTCATCCTCATCTTCATCCTCATCTTCCTCATCTTCATCCTCACCAACTTCATCCTCATCTTCATTGTCTTAATCCTCATCATCTTCATCCTCATCTTCATTCTCATCTTCATCATCTTAATCCTCATCTTCATCCTCATCTTCCTCATCTTCATTCTCACCATCTTCATCCTCATCTTAATCCTCACCATCTTCATCCTCATCTTCATGCTCATCTTCATCATCTTCATCCTCACCATCTTCATCCTCACCATCTTCATCCTCACCATCTTCATCCTCATCATCTTCATCCTCTTCATTTTCATCCTCATCGTCATTTTCTTCATCACCTTCATTCTCATCACCTTCATCCTCATCTTCATCATCTTCATCCTCATCTCCATCCTCATCTTCATTTTCTTCATCACCTTCATCCTCATCCCTTTCATCCTCATCTTCATCATCTTCATTCCCACCTTCATCCTCTTCATCCTCATCTTCATCATCTTCATTCTCATCTTCATTTTCTTAATCATCACCTTCATCCTCATCCCCTTCATCCTCATCTTCATCCCCTTCATCCTCATCTTCATCCTCTTCATCTTCATCCTCATCTCCATCCTCATCTTCATTTTCTTCACCATCATCTTCATCCTCATCTCCTTCATCTTCATCTTCATCATCTTCATTTTCTTCATCATCACCTTCATCCTCATCACTTTCATCCTCATCTTCACCCTCTTCATCCTCACTTTCTTCATCCTCTTCATCTTCATCTTCATCCTCACCATTTTCATCCTCTCCATCTTCATCCTTATTTTCATCCTCTTCATCCTCACCGTCTTCATCACCTTCATCCTCATTTTCATCCTCATCATCTTTATCCTCACCTTCATCCTCTTCACCATCATCATCATCACCATTTTACCCCCTTTATCCCTTCTTCATCTCCTTTTTACCACCACCACCATCATCACCTCCATCACCCCATTTTTCATTTTCTCAACCTCTTTCCTTTCTCGTTCTTCCTCCTCAACCTCTACACCCTCCTCCTCCTCCTCCTCTCCCTTCTCCTCCTCCTCCTCTCCCTTCTCCTCCTCCATCCCAAACACAGGACCCAGGCATCTGGGTGGGCCTTAACCCAATTACCCCATGGTGGGTGTTGGATTTGGGGTCTGGGTGGGCCTCAAAC